GGGGGGGGGGGGGGGGGGGGGGGGGGGGGGGGGGGGGGGGGGGGGGGGGGGGTAGGTCAAGTAGACGCTATTTCTGCGAGTTTGTGTTTGACTTTCTTTTTCAAGGCTGGTTTTGACGACCTCAAACCTGTACTGACGTGGCGAGGACCATATACCAGCAACATTGCAAAAGCCAGGTACGGTTGGGAGGGATGCTATTGGCTAAACATCGTCTATGAAATACTCGGAGTCGCTCGGGGCCAGCAGTAGGAGTAGTAATACAAACAATATTATTGTGGCTTTAGGACTAAGATTTGTAGTTGTTTGGTTTGATGCGCGGTAAGCCCGGTTTGAATGTGTATGTTGGTAGAGAAGTACCACCCGCCTGTATGTTACGGACGTAGGTTACGGCCGCCTTCTCCCTTTCATTTGCTGCTGCCGGGTAGGGGTTTTAGCGCAGTGTTGCGGCGCAATCATCAACCTGTGTCGCACAGCCATTGGCCAATCGCGTCATCCCATTCGGTGTCTTCGCGGTTTGTATCTTGTTGTAGGTTAGTTTTTATGATAGATGGGCGCAGGGGGAGTGTATGCCACGACTGACTGTGTTGCAACCAGAGGAAGGACCAAAACAATGAGCCACTGTCTTGAAACCGGAGGACCACAACAATTGAGCCAATGTGAAAGGATCAAACCACAACGAGATGAGTGAATCTGGCGGTTCTGAACCCGGGCCCCAATCTAACAAGCAAGGACAACTTCGATTGGGTGCTTTAGTTTGTCGCCATGCAAGACGTCAGTCACACAGCATCAGCGGTTGCTTGAGTTATTGTTGTTGTTGTTGTTGTCTGAGTGGTCCAGTTTGAAACCTCACAGCCATCTGGCGTTAGGGCATGGTCTCGAATCTGGGTGCAGTGCTGTGGACTGAAGAACATTTTCTGAATCGCGTCAGGGGGCCGTTGTCGATTTCTTCTTTCGTCCACTAATCAACGGAAACGGCCGGCGGCACAATAACAAGTCGTCTAGTAGCGCTCTACTGCATCTGCACAAGGGGCGTGAAGAAGGAAGATAAAAACACAACCAAACCACATATGATAGTACTCTTGAACTCTCCCAATTCCTTGTTCTCTGTTCATAAGTGACTTATCCCACTCTCCTGTCGATATTCCTCGTCCCATTCTACCCCCTTCCACAATTCGACTCGCCGAGTTAACCTCACAAGCTGGGAGTTTGTACACAAATTCCGGCGCTGTTTCACCCTATCTGGCACAGAATCCGAACGAGTCCCGTAGCCTATGGTCCATGACTTTAAAAAAAAGGGGGTTGGACGGTAACTGAAATTCTCCCCGTTCTAATTTTGAGATAAATTGGAGGTAGACTTGTGGGTATTTTTTTTAGGAAGCTGGAAGTTCTCATTCTACGTAGGCGTGCATGGCACGTGCGGGGCTGGATCAGGACAAGGGCGCCTTCCGCGCTAGAGTGTCGAGCGGCCCAGTTGATGATGTTCCCCGAAGACTGAAGCTCCAAAAAGTGTGTCAGGGTGCTTTGGTGGGGTGTAGGCCCAGTTCCGCGGGTGAAATTGAGTACCCGACGTCGGGATGTTGAGGTTTCAGCGATATGTAGTGTTTTATACTGCAGAATGCATGAAAAAAAAGGGGATGGGGCTAAAACGTCCCCCCCCCTTTGGAAAAACGGCGATAAAACGTGTTTATAAGGCCATTTTCAAGCTCGNGTCGGGATGTTGAGGTTTCAGCGATATGTAGTGTTTTATACTGCAGAATGCATGAAAAAAAAGGGGATGGGGCTAAAACGTCCCCCCCCCTTTGGAAAAACGGCGATAAAACGTGTTTATAAGGCCATTTTCAAGCTCGTTTTTTAAGCTATTTGATGCGTACAACCGCGGAGATTGACCACAAATACCCTGTGTGACATATGTGGACATTTATTTCACCGACGTGCTTGAAAATAATGTATGTTGTGCATTATATATAGAAAAAGACAGCCCATTTCGGCGACAAACCGTGAAAATATTAGCCACAGACCGGCAAATATTTGTTTTCTCCTGCTGGAGACCCTTCTTTGATATCCCAAACCGCCAAAGGGAGACGACCTGCTGCTGCATATGAACAGCAACATGCAACAAACAGCACACAGCAACAAAAAAAGTACAAAAACTGTAACAAAATTACCTAAAAAAACAAAAGATCATGGAAGAGAACAAGGCGCCAAACACGAGAACATGACGTGCACCACGGACACCCCTCAATTCCCTACACCACAAGACGCCCGAGTAACCTTGTGCTTGCCCGACACAGCCTTCACCATACCCACCATTCCCGCGTACTTCTTGGCCGGGACGNCAGCAACATGCAACAAACAGCACACAGCAACAAAAAAAGTACAAAAACTGTAACAAAATTACCTAAAAAAACAAAAGATCATGGAAGAGAACAAGGCGCCAAACACGAGAACATGACGTGCACCACGGACACCCCTCAATTCCCTACACCACAAAACGCCCGAGTAACCTTGTGCTTGCCCGACACAGCCTTCACCATACCCACCATTCCCGCGTACTTCTTGGCCGGGACGCACGGTGCACATCTTCACCGACGGGTGCGCCAAACAGTACAAGGGGAAGCGCAACTTTTACGCTGTGGCCAAGAGCTTGCACAGGCTTGGTGTCGTCCTCATCCACAACTTCGCGGTCACGTCGCACTTCAAAGGCGCCCACGATGGCATCGGGGGGTTGCTGAAGGCTCTGTTGCGAGAAGCGGAGAAAAGGGGCCAGCGCATTCGCAACACCCAAGCCGCAGCCGACTTCCTCCAAGTCTACGCCGAGGCAAAGGAGTATGGAGGAGGTCACTTTTCAAGCTGGTCCCCCTACCGGATCAAGAGGTTCCACATCAAGCTTCTTGGACACCGAGAGATCCCTCGCCCGTTCGTAGATTTGGCGGGCATCTCTGGGAGTTCCAAGCTGTACCAGTTCATGGGAGCGGAGGTACAGGAGGAGGAGAGCTCGGGCGTAGGCGTAGAGGTGGAGACAGAGAACGGGGTTCCCCTCGTAGGTGGCGAGAAAGAGGTTGTAGCTAACCCGCAGAGATGGCAGGCGGACGAATCAACCGTTCTGACGCTTCCGGCTGTCACGAAGCGATACAAGCAGTCGTCGTAAGCTCCATCACTACAATTCGAGCAGTAGCACGACGCCTGGCGAACGCGTATTTGTGGGTTTGGTGGTTGTGGATGATAAATCGAATTAATCGAACGGACTGCATCGTGTGCTGCTGGTCATCCCCGGTGTCCTCTTGTTGATGTATACGACTTAAGTCGATGTCGTGTTGCACAAACTTGTTGCACAAACTTGCCGTTTGTGATGTATACTAGTTATTCGATGCCGTGCAGTGTTGCACATACTTGGCCGTTTGTGCCACAGTATACCCGTCCACCCCAGAGACCGGCGTTCAAACATTTAATTTTACTTCCCCTGGCGCATTTTCGGATAGCTCTTGGAGAGGCTGTTGAACGCCGCTATTTTCGGCACCACTGATGTCACTGCTTACGAGTGGTTTCGGAGGTTTTACCACATCTCCGGGGGAAGGGGAGGGGTGGTGGTGGGAGTATCTTGTTGCACGTACGCCCAGACCCTAGACCCCATGACCGGGTGATTAATTTCAATACTGCACATATGCCATCGTTTTCGTGGCAAACCACATGTGGTTTCCTCACCGTTGAAGATATCTACGAAGTCATTGAGGTGGCCTTCATAGCATCCCAGCGCAAGGTCTGGGGGTTCGCCCCTCGTCTCTCGGTTGGCCCGAACTTCGCGAATAGCTCGGACGATGGTCCCCGACACCACCTGACGAACAACAGCAAAATAGGACAAGAAGTCGGTCTTTTACGTTAGGTCTGCGTGCTGGTGGAAGAATCACTGCCAAGCATGAACGGAATAATCCGGAAAAACCGTTACCATAGCCTGAACTTCCTTTGGCATGAGGAGGTTTAATGTTCGTGCTCCGAAGGTTCCGCAACTTTGAGCTCAACCTTTCATCACCTTCGCAGAGAGCTTGACGTTCATGCAGGTGAAATTAGTCCTGTTGAACGCGCTCACTGGCATGCCTGGGAATATGGTCAAGGTGGCAGCTCGTTCCTCGGGAGTAATGCTGTTGTTGTCGTACTCGACGTCGTTGTACACTCGTTGCGCGGTCTTCAAGGAGAACTGAGAAAACTTCAACTCGTCCTGGTCGGTGACGCACCACATCCCCAGCTGGCGCTGCTTGGCGGGGATGTCGCTGTGCCAAAGGGCGTTGACGATCTTCTTGAGAATGTGCATGGGGTCGCTCATGTTGAAGACCTCGTGAAGATGAACAGGGTGTAGGATCCCGACCTTGAAGCTGGTGAACGAGCCCTCCTGCGGCCCCTTGATCCACCGACAGAACCCTGAAATGGCCGCGTGTGTCTGAAAAGAACGGCTGTCGAGAGGCGTTCGCGAGGGCGCAACGAGGGGAAAAGGGCCGATCATAAAGTACGGCTCCACACACGGTCTTTCCAAGGTCATCCACTTGGCCACCACCAAAGTGACCTCTCCGAGCCTACATGTAGTCTATGTCGTATAAAACTTCTCTCGACTCGAACGGATTGATATGGACGTAATACGTGGGACAACCCGCAGTCTCTAGATAGCAACGTCGACAACAACAAAAAAACACTCACTGCCCAGGTGCACCGTCGCATACGGTGGCTATGACGTCGAAGGCTTTATCCGGGTGGGCCATCGCAAGAGAACGCATGACCCGGATCAACATGCGTTGGATGAAGTCCGTACTGAGAGAGCGGACAGCTTCGCGCCACACGACGAACTTGTACTCCGGCTTGCCGACGCTCACGAAGTACATCTGTGTATTTCGTTTAGAGTGGGCAGGGATGGGCGACCATGTGAGCATGTCGCAGTGTTTGGGGGGTTGCGATTGCCTCATCAAGTAGGATGACGGCAAAAATCGTCAACGCACATCCATCGCGCGTCACCGGAGAGGGCAACGGTACGAAGCCAAACACAGTCTGTGAACGCAACACCCGGGACGAATTCGACAGGGCATGATTACACAAAACACGGCCAGGAGATATCTGGTTCCCTACCTCGACGTATTGCGTGGCGACAATCTTCTCCAGAATTGGCTCTACTTCCTTTACAATCCCCCCCTCGTGCTTGTAGATGGGGTTGAAGAACGTCGTCTCGTCCACGAGGCCCGTGAACCCCCCCCCGTTAGGTGCGAAACTAAAACCGTTCTTGTTGAGGTGCATGAGGTCCCACGCCAAGACCCCCATCAGGTCGGCCTTGTCTGTGTCTTGCGTGGCCGCGAGCTTCCCGTTTTTCTGGACATAACGGGAGTAAAAGGGGTAGAGTTAGATCACAGTCACATACCCAAAATTTTCGGAGGCGAATGCAGTGCCGACAAAGAAAAAAAATTGAAAAAAAACATCAACCTATCCATAAAACACGTCGAGCCGAGACCATTTCCACTGCTCCTTTGAAGAACAAAAGTCGAACTCAGCGTATGTGTTACCAGGATGTTCTCGGTCAGCACACCCGTCCTAGGAGGGGCGGCATTCCGCCGCAGCTGCTTGATGCGTTCAGGGCTAGGCAGGTGCAAGACATTCGTCAGCATGTTGTACGCCGCAGTCCCCGCAATCCCTTGGATGTAGATGGCAAGTCTCATCGTAGCCGGGTGAAATCGAAACCCCTTTGCCTTGCCGTGGCTCGTGTTCCACTTCACCTGATCCTGTGCGCACGGGAGTGGGAGCGTTTTGTTGTGTACCTATTCGGTCGGCAAACACGAGTGCTCACCGACATGAGCCCCCCTAAATCATACTTTTGTATACTTCCGCAACCATTCGCATGTTTCATTGCATCACCCGCTACGAGGTGGGCGGTGTTTCGCCTTGCCTGTGCGACGTACGTATCCCCGTCATTCTAAACCACCTCGCAGATGGAAGTTCTCGACCTCCAGATAAACCGGCCACTCTGAAAGAAAAACTTTGATCAGCAACGCACCCTGGAAACCTCGGCGAGACGCCTCCAATACCTACTTGAAATCTCAAACAAATAGTGCATGACAGCCCACCTCATGGAAATGCCTCTGGTCGCTTCCCTGAGGGAGTCTCGAGTGTATCATCTCCTTCGTCTCGGCGTCGACAAGGATTTAATGAAGAGCTTCCCCTTGTTCCATAGTAAGGCGAACGCACTCCTCCCTCATTGAAACGATCCGTTCACGCAGCAAGGTCGTCGCATTTCGCTCTCTATTCAGGTCAACTGCCGTAGTCCTGAGCTTGTGATCCTGTGGTTCGGGGGGAATCGCGCGATTTGCTTGACGTTGCTGCATCGCGATATTCAGAATTTGACAATGATCGGCGACTGGCGTGCAAAACAAAAAACGTGTCACACCTAGGTACTCGTTGTGGCGGTAAAACGATCGTCACACCGACCTTTTGCGCGCTGTCATGTAGATGTTCTTGCTGAACATCTTGGACTCGGCCTNTTAAAGTCGGATTACTCTCGAGGTTCCGTTGCGCCTGGCGTACGAGGCTCGGGAAAACGTCGGCGGCCCCTGCTGGCATCTTGGCGTCCTCCCGGACATGCTGCTGAGAGACGCCTTGGCAGGGAAGCGTGTGCCACACCACGTTGAGAAGCTGCAAACGTAAACGGAGAAAACGAAGGAAGTGCAACACATACCATCGTCGGGGCCGGTAAATTTAGAAGACACTTTATTATTATGTTTATGAAGGTAGAGCTTAAAAGTCCCGGTACACAATGTAGTTCTTGAGTGATTGTGCCCACATTTTATGTCGGCGGCACAGCACGGCCTTCGCAGAAACGGACATAAAAGTCCAGTGAGACCCGTATTTCCCGACGTGCTCACCGTCAAGAGTTCTCCACATGCCCTCTGAACATGACTTAGAGCGGGTGGACACTGGTGCTGTATCAAGCGCTACGTCAACACGACATGACCCTCACCTCCGTCAAATCATCGTCCGCGCCGACTGCCGTAAACCTCCGGAGGGCGTCATGGTTCTTAACGCAGCGCCCGTTGAACGTGATGGAAGCAATCGGTCCTACCCCTTTCAGGCTAGTGGGTCCAAGGCATACCTGGTCCAAGGTTCAGAAAAAAAAATGGAGATTTTGTGTGGTCAGTTTCACACCAATGGATGCACTGGTAATGTCCAGGTTGCCCGACAACTTACGTGAACCGATAATAACATGCATAAACTTTGGCGACGGACAACGATTGATCGACGAGTAGACAAACTTCGACTACAAAGTCGACAAGGCTCAGACACAGAGTAGCCCTTCTCTACGAAAGCATCAAAGGGGCAACCCAGTGGAAGATTAAGGTTCCGGCCGATCAGCTTGAACGTATGTAGCACTAAGGCTTGCTACGCTCGCCTTACCCTAGGACGAACTACACACACAATGCAACGTGCCACATGATTGTGCACGAGCTAGCTCAGCGCGACAGGGTTCAAATTCCAATATCAGTGTCATCCCGGGCACCAGAATACACGCACTCTTGGTCCATGACACTGACCTCAACATGTGCACCCCTCGCGGAAGTGAAGAAGGTGAATCCATCGGCATCACTGCCCGTAAAACCCCAGTGGGCGCCCCACGGTTTCGTTGTCTTCGTCCAGGAGCCCCATTCGTATGAGGGGATGGTGTAGAAGGCATCCTTACCCTTGTATGTGACGATGTCGGCGTCGAGCCCGAAAATATCCGCAAGATTCTCCTAGTTCAGGTATTCCAGCATCGCGGGGGGCGGGGGGGGCGCAAAGTGAGACGAGATGGAACGCGAGAACATGGGGGGTTGTGTCTGAATGCACGGGCTGCGTCAAAGAATTTCGCTCCGGGTGAGAAATGGCATGTGCACACGCTCCCGACGAGTTTTACACGACATAAGCCTGGTCTTATTTCGGGACACGACGACGTACACGAATGAGGTAAACCTCGTCAGTTCTCGTTCGTACACCACCGGGGCCTACAGACATACAGATACAAAAAAAAATTACGGCCGTATTGCGCAATGTGCTACGTGATACGTGTTCACTTGCAACAAGAAGTAATCGCACCTTCTAGACGCCTGGCTATTCTGGTGACACGAGAAAGTTTACTCACACGTTGCCGTCGAGCACCCCTGCTTTCCTCCCAAGCCTGCGTGCTCGGCGATGGCGTGGTGTGCCGTCGTTGATTTCCCGCGATTGTGGGCCTGTCTGGCGTGTGGGTAGATCTCTGCATCGGAAGTCCTGCCCCTGGATTTGGATGGTAGGGTAGCAAAGTGTTTAGAATAGCGCATGTGCTGAGTGGGGCGTAGTGTATCGCGAGCGGTTGTTGGCTGTTCAAAATGCTGCATGTATACATGTATATGGTGTAGCTCAGTATATCCATGCGATCCTACCCAATCAACTAAAGGACATCGCCGCTCCATAGAACAAGAAGCAGGAGTATGTCGGACACGTGACTTCTAGGGACTCTTAATCGTTGGCGTCTGTACGAACACCGGCAAGTCGATCGTGGAATCCCACCCACAACTAGAGCGTCAACAAGGTATCACAGGGGAGTTGATCCGCCTTTGATTTTTGGAATATGACGTATGTAATAATTAATTGTCGATCAACAGCAGCAATAAATAGATACATACACAGTTCCAACAAATTGTCAAGAGACAATGCGACGTGTTCCTGTGAAGGCAGAACGTCACAACATGTCTTGTGACTTTTGTACGTATACAGTCGTTGTGATTAGCACTTACTGGCATTCGTGATAAATGTCAGTGTATAGTCAAGGCTTAAAACAGATTCAAAATAAGCCCAGTATCCAGCCGGTTTCTTCCCACTCACTGTGAAAGACTTCAACACATCCCCTTCGACTGTGGTGTTGTCTCGAACGGCCGGCTGGTCTTTCTGTGAGGTTATATGTACCTTCTAAAAGGTATCCCAGGAGCGGTTTGGGATTGAGGGTGAGGGTATCAACCCAGAAACAACGGGGACAACAACAACAAGGACAACAGCGCCGCCACAAGTCGCAGGGGGGAGGAAACGTTTATTTCGCAAGAAAGTCAGTGGCAGGGCAACCCAAAATCAGAATAACAATAAAAGAACATCTAAGCCGCGGTCGGTCAGACCCAGTGTTTCAGTAGTTTTTTTTTTTTTTCCGAAGGGAGGGCGGAGTCAAGAACGAAGGGGTGCGATGCCAACTGTGGCGTGGCGGTTGGACCCTAAGTTTGCAGAGAAACTCCTGAGAGCCATACTATTACTTGGAACGGAAGACCAGCGGGAGGCCATGGCCTCTATGAAATTGTACTTACCGCACCAGCAAATGCAAGAATCGTCCCACTGCACGTTAAATGGACAACGTCCTCAATGTATTTGGACTCGTATATGCTGTGTGACAAGCTACACAAAGAATCGCTCCACAGATGCTCGCCGAAAAGAAGGATGTTGATGAAGAAGAGAAATGCCGGTTTTACAGATGGCGGTCCTCGAAAAGAGAGTACCCACTGCTGTCATGTAGGCGAGGAGATCCTGCGTAGGGGCAGGGGTCGATCCGCAGGGGGCGGCCAAATTGGGCGGGCATGCACCCGAAGACTAAAAGAGCCCTGAAACATGGGCTGGTTTGTCGGGGGACTGACTGGTCTTGCATCCTGGGGTATCAATGGTTCACAAAAAAAAAAAGCTTAAGTACCCCACTGGATAACCTCCATGCACTATGATCTTGGCGACAATACGCAACAACACCAGTTCCACGTAAATATAAGAGGCAGGAGATGCATGTGATGCTGACCTTCGTAGATTTGAACCCTCATCTTCATGTACACCAGACGTGTACAAAAGAGAGAGTTGATTGCTAAAACGGAGGGGGGAAATGCACTTCATCTGTCGAACAATTCATTACATTTGATAGCAAAACACTATGCACATCACCGAGCATTTTGTAGAAAATCAGTAGTGACGACCGCAGCATCAAGTTTAAAATAAGTGGTGACGCATGCACCGCAAAAGCAAGCCGTCATCGCCGATCGTGATTACCAACATCCAAATAATGAAATGAATTTCTCCACGCATTCAGAAGCAGAGTGTATGGGACTCGCGATAACCCATAACGAGGTCCTGCGCACCACCTACTTGTGCTGGTTGCGGGGTGGTACTTGACCATCCGCGGCGCTTACCGCCACGTGCCACACGAAGGATTATGCTGCTGTCAACAGCAGTAGAGATATTTTCTGAGCAACAGGCTACTTTCAGGGTCCCTGGTGCACCCTCAGTCACGTTGTTCAGTTGTGGGTGCGGAGTTTGGACATTGCTCTGCGTACACTACACCAGTTGACAAACGGATTGCTATCCAAGATAGCCAGTCTCACACACTGACAGCTGTAGGCCTCGGGGCCCACCTGCCCCTACGCTAGACGAGCGTGAGGGCGACACGGAGGGCATGCTCGACGATTAGACCCAAACCCCCCAGATCTCCCATGGTCATGTTTCAATTTTTCTCGACTCACTGTTGATTATTGGGCCTCCTTCCTTCGCCACAGCCCCGCCTGTGATGCTGCTAGAGCGCACGCCGAGTGCCAGACCACTACACGCTCGAGCAGTCGGATGGGTGTACAATGAAGACCTTTTGCAGGAGGCCCTGTCCTGATCTGTCCCCGCATGCGCGATGCACGCCTACGTAGAATGAGAACGTCCAGAAACCTCGATTTCGTAGATCTCGTAGAGTTATCGTCCAAGTGTACATATTTTAAGTCATGGACCATAGCCCGTAGCTTTTCGCACTCATTAAGCCGTTGGAGTATGTCTTTCACGCTGGTGGCCACGTCTTGTTACACAACTAATTGCTCATCATGGCTTGGCATCTCTCTTCCGGGAAGACCGCGTGGAAACACGTGACCTTCTAATGTGCCACGACCTATGTTACTACACAAGAACTTCTTGCGTTGGGCATGCTTGCAACGTATGTTCTCTGTCAAGAAACCGACAGAAATCATACAACCTCAACGTGGGGTCGGATCTGACAGTAACCATCAATAAAAAAAAAATCAAACCCTCACGTCTCCAATACCAAGTTTGTGCCTACTGTAAACATCATTCCGGGAAGCTTCGTCTCCTTATACATGGTTCTTGACACCAACAACTGGGTCTCTAACAAGATCTGCCTGTCGAACAACTCGCACCCCGCTATTGACGTCCACCAATGCTACTCCCACTCTCCCATGCCGTTCACCACATCATACATGCGGGAGGGAAGAAAATTCGCAGCCCTTCTCGTATGCGTGTAAATCAGTCTCCTCAACAATGTTGAAGCCAAGAATTTTTCTTGGAAAGAGAGCAATCAGAGATCAGGGAGGAAACGGCGGGTTAATCCTTGCCGTCAGCCCTTGCCGTACGAGCTCGTTTCAAGAAGCTTTCGTTGGGAAAAATGTTTTTTTCTCAACTTCGTACACCCGCTGCAACGCCTCCACACTAACCTAACAGGTGGTAACAAGTACACCAAACAAGGAATCACACGCCAAGCCGAACAAGCTGGCCTGCATTGTCAGCCTCTCTACCGAACGGCACACTATTCACTCACGGAAGCAGCCAGCCTGCCCCGGGCAACGACTTGACGGCTCGTTTTGCTCGACCATTCACCGCCCTCAGGGCTTGAATGTGCGGCTCGTCGTCTTCTAACGGGATGATGCTGCTGTCGCGACCGACGCCTAGGCGCTTCACGACGGCATTGGCCGCTTCCACCCCTGTAACGAACGCTTTTTCTGTCGGGCACCACACAACGCAAAAGGAAGGGGGGGGGG